AAAGTGCATCGATGGTTCCGACACCAAAAGTGCATCGATGGTTCCGACACCAAAAGTGCATCGATGGTTCCGACACCAAAAGTGCATCGATGGTTCCGACACCAAAAGTGCATCGATGGTTCCGCCAAAAAGTGAACCCATGATTTTTCACAGATGATTTCTAGAATAACATCATTTCGGTTTCTCCCATTTAGCTGGCCTTTCTGGGCGTCTTCAGGCATCACGTCTGGCCTCAGAGCTGTGGCGGTTGAAAAACATGCACATAGCGCTTGCAAGAATCAATGTCCATCAATATCAATATATTTCCATTATAGGCTTGCTTGACAGCTAAGTTTAAGCGTGGCCTCCCGGCCTTGGCCTCCCGGCCGTGGCTTCCCAGCCTTGGCTTCCCAGCCTTGGCTTCCCAGCCTTCCATCCCAAGCTTGAATTAAAACTATAGTTGAAGCATTGAGCCTTCGATTTTCACCTGCGCGCTCCAGAAAAGACAGCCTTTAAGGGCATTGCCGGCGCTATCGCGTCTAGGATGCTTTGGTGCAACACGAACTCAGGTTCTCCTATCAATGGCTGACCCGGTGCGGCATGCCACGGCAAATCAACCAAGGGCTGGTGTTCCCACCGGCGATTTTCAGCTAAGTCCTTCAGGGGGTGGTTCCGCTGACCTCCAAAAACCAACAAGGTGTGTCACAAGGATCCTTCTGTCACCCTCACTTAAAAACAACAACTAGTCCTTGAGATACTCAATGGCTTTGTAAAAGGATTGCCCATAGGCAGTTTGGAAAAGATCTGCAAGCTTGTTCATGTTCTTCTTGAAAGCTTCAGAATGATTGTTCGCATGCCTTGCTCTGATCACGAAAGTTGAAACAACATAAATCATCTATTGCTTTTAGATCTTCAGCCATTGAGACCATAGCATATTCAAAAACAAATTTACTAATCTCCACCAAACAACTTCTCCCGCGGAATGAGAGAGACCCGATTGGCCCAAGTCTGCGGCAAAAGAAGGAGCGGAGGCTGTCCCAGCGCTCCGTCACAGATGTGCCTGGAAACAATAACTAGCCGGCAGCCTGACTCCCAATATTTTTTAAAAAAGCTGGGGACTCAGAAACACACAATCACAGATGCGCCTCTTGACTAAGCAAATCACGTCTTGTGGCAGTGTACCACCACGGAAAGAACCCGCATCGATGCCCGCTGCCAGCTGGTCTGGTAGATCTGCCAAGTTCATGTGATTTCAGTGAGGAACAGAAAGTCGAATAGTAGTCTGGGAAGTCAAGATGTGTCATTGATTGGTTGGGAAGTCATAGCACACTGGCAGCAACCCATGCCACCATGACAACGTTATCAAATGTCGCTCTAAAGCATGTAGTAATTGAACAAATGACTGAGAACAAACCCTCAGAACCCTTGACCATCGCCTTTTTTCTGCATCATCAAGAAAGCGTGGTTAGCGCTGGCGTCGTCAAGGAGGCCGCCCTCCATAGACGCGCCCTGCGGCAGCCAATGATGGCGCCAGTCTCGACAGGCTGTCATTGTCTCCACGTGAACTTCAGTTCTGCTGCCTATCCAATGGCGAACCCCTGGGCGTGAGAGTTCAGATTTGACGGTCTCCACAACGTCCTTAGGTCACTTGGCTGCCCCAATGTATTGGAATAACTAGTTCTAATATCACAGGTATCCAAAAGCAACATGTAGGTTGAATCCTGCGTCATGAACTTCCCCACAAACAAAAAACGCACACCATTCCTCAACACATTGACTAGATTCGCTAGCATTCAGCATCTGATCAGTGTTCGAGATACGACGTGCGATGATTCCAAATAGTTGATCAATCTTGTCATGTGTGTGACTCTTGCGCAGGAAGTACATACCTGCAAGTCTGACCTTGCGCCTCGCGACAAGGTTCATCAGGTATTGCATGCAATACCTGTTCTTCAGCTCTCTCACCGTGTTGTCGCCGCATACTATGAGTTTGCTTGGAGGTTTTTCACCTCTCTTTGCGCAGATGGCCATGACTCTTTCGAGCCCCTGCGCGATCTGCTCTGTGATAGCTGCTGAATCATGTCTTGTACTTTCATCGAGTATTCTGACTTCCAATGTGTAGCCTTGAATGCAAATATAATGTAGCAATTCCCTGCTATTCCCTGCTTGAGGTCTGTTTTCCACCAATCAATCCCAAATGTTAAAAAGTTTTCCTGATAAAATCAGAGGCGCCCCACACCCAAAGACCGTGCAGCTTGACCTTTGGCCTGTTGGCACTTGCCACGGCGCTGGAAGCACGATGACCAGGATATCGAGGTAAGCGGAATTTACCTTGATCCATCCCGTCGGTGCACATGATGACCAGGTCTGACTGAGGGTCGCAAGCGGCTTCTTGCAAAGACCAAAGTATGCATCGGTCGCTATACTGATCCGCCAAGTGGCGGCGGTACTTTGTCAACGTTCCCAGGCGAGCCTCCATGCTCAATGAAGTACTTGAAAGGTCTTGCTTGAAGTTGTAGCAAAGCTCACATTGGCTGAACCTAACCAACATAAAGTTTCCAAGTCAGACGTGATTCTATTTCTGAATGCTGTAACGGCAGCCCCTGTAATTGCACAAATTGCAGAAAAAGACAATCCGCTGACGCCCAGAAACATGCTCCGAGCTCTAAATTTCAATACGTCTTTCCACCGGCTTTGGTATACCCTCAAGAATGTGGAATACCTAGGCCAGTCAGGGTGGAACCCCTCAATCAAAAAATGTCTTCTCCAGGATTATATAAGTAATGTGATGTCTTACAACTCATACGTGCAACTCAAACACGACACGGCCACAGCTCCGAAAAGACTCCTTGTCGATGTGTTGTGTGTGTATAAATCATGGACGGTTCCTGGTGGCAAGAACTTTGTTAGCTTCTTTTCCTCTGGTTGAAAAGATGCCCAAATTGCACCAGTGCCGGGCTTATCCAGAAAATCCCGCAAGTCTTCTTGATCTTGGCAATCTGACTCCAAGTCCCACTCAGGGTCATCGCTGGCTGCAGCACGCCCACGTCGAACGAATCTGACAGGATCTCCGTTGTCAAATGTAAAATATATTACTTGGTTTAAGTTTGATGGCAAAACTGCGGCAAAACTGATTATTGTTTTCATCAACATTTGCCTGTCCGGAAGCACTTCCGCCACTCCTTCATACATGATGGATAGGAATGCATCAACTGAGTATGTGTCTCGCTGACTCCCAGTTTTGTCCTTGCCCAACCGCATGTCGGGCATCATTGTTGCTGCTTTGCGCAGGCGGTTCACACCGATGCCAAGCATTGAACATAGGCACGCTCGGCCAACCTTTCGGTTCAGAAATGTGAACTCCGTGACCTCCTTCACACCGCCAATCATAGTGTGCAACTAAGATGCGGGCAAGCCAAGTGAAAATTGTTGGAAAGTGCATCAATTTGCCAAGCAAACCAAACAATGGTTCTATTGGAAGCCTGCTTAGGGTAATCCACTTCAAGCCAAATCACAAAGGAATCCTGCTCGCACTTGCCCATGTCCCAAAAGGTTGAGACAAAGCTATTGGCATCCTTGAGGGCCAGGTCACGGAAACAGGTCTGCAAAGCACCTCAAGCTTTCGAGCGGAGTTGGGACTGACAGGCACAAGTCCGCAGGGCCTAAACAAACACCAGACAAATGGATATCCAGCAAGGCACACTTGCAGGTTGGCAGCTTCTTCAACTCTTCCAACCGTCCAGGTGTCATCGCTTTAGCCTTGAAGGATTTGTCATCCCCCCTCGGCTGAGCATTTGCAGCTCTCTGTGCGTTATTGTATGGTCGCTTCTTGGTTGGTGGCTGCTCCGCGGCAGCTCCCAAGAATCTGGATCGCTGAAACATCAGCAATCCGCTCCACGTAACATTTATAGTTGCCGCTTCTGTTGGTTCATCTTCCTGCTCTGACTCTTCGACATCAATTTCAAAATCACCAGGCCGTTTCCTTCGTGGTTTTTCTTCGGGTTCATCTGCGAAAGGACGGGGAGATCGCAGGGCTGCAGCCTTTCTTGGCCTCTCTTCCGGCTCGAATCCAAAAATTGGAGGCCCGGTCTTTTTAGTCTCTTTGGTGGCTTTGTCCAACTGTTTTCGCCTCGGCTTCTCCTCCGGTTCTGGGGCGAACATGCTCCTTCATATCTGCAGTCATGGCAGCGCAAGCGGAGATCAGAAAATTGTCGCTTGCACAGTATCATGGTTATGAATCTACAGCATCGTTTGTTTACCATGGTCGTGAAAAGTTCGTGCTCACCCCAAGGATTATAAGGGTTCATTGTTGGGCTCTTTAGAGTTGCGCTGCATTGCACAAAACCGTTGGTTTTCAGCTGCCAACATCAGAGCTGAACAGGGTGGTTGTTTAATATTGTCTACGCTTCTGACAGCTTCCCAGCCACTACATCAAGGATATTTTTCACCAACGCTCGACTAAGGTTAATCTGGCTTCCCAGCCACAAGATCTATGAAAAGGTCAATGTTATAAGGGCTTCCCAGCCCGTAACGACCAACACACTGCATGAGAGGCCTGCGCTTCAAAACACATTTTTTCGACCTGCAAAAGACAGCCATATCTATGGTAGTTATTGAATTTTGAATTTGACTACCAGTGTGCTGTCAATTGTGTGGCGCCGGGCTTAAGCACAGCATCGCCACCAAAGCTGTGATCGCAGCACTCGGCAAATGCATGCCATTGCCGGCCATCTTTGATATGGCAGCGTTGGAAGCACCCTCAAGCTTGCGGCAATCCTCAGGTTGTCAGCGCAGCATGCTTTGGAACCACGCAAATAATAAGCATCATGTCACTGATTCATACTCAAGTGTAGAAGTTGCAGTGTTCAAGGTGAGACTCTGTTCCCAAATCATTTGATGACCGAGGGTTGCAAGGATACCCCAGAGTAGACAGCATTTCCCGCGCTGTCCAAAATCTTCCATGTTTGTTGGACCTCATTGAAGTGCAGCTTGAGGCCACAAACGAATTATTTTCAAGACAGCATCATGTCCAAGTGTGCACACTGTGGCCGAATAAACAAACTTAAGCCCAGGCACCATATATGAGTGTTCGTCGTGAGAGTCATCAGAGCACCGTCCGATGTCTCCGTTCGAGCTCGAAACTCCGGATTGCTTGACAGGTCATAGAACTGCTTGCTTGGAAACATCTCACGATAGACCCTCAAAAACGCTGAGGCCGAAGGGCAGAAGTGTGGATCCTTTTTGGGGCTTTCATACATGAAGATTGATGGACATATCGCAACGGTGGTATCCCGTGGCAGCAAGAGAATCTTGACAACATCATCAAATGAGTATGGGCATGTCCACTTCATTTTGTTCTCGTTGAAGAGGATTCTGTAAGCCCGGTCTCTATTCGTAGGCTCACCAAAGCAGCGAGGAGAAAGCCTCAGGCTGACAAGTCGCAGTGAAACCGCTTTAAATGGAATACATATGAATCCAGTTCTCAAACATTTACACCCAACGCAAACAAAGCACAGGGCTTTCTCTGTCCGGAAATGGGTTAGTTGCTCACTCAAATACTCATCCTGGCAACTCAGTGGAGTAGAGTGGCTAAAGCAAAGCAAGCTAGAAGCAAGCTACAAGCCACAACACACAATCACAGGCCAATCCTCATCGAATTGCGTCACATTCTCGTGGAGGCTGAATGCAGTTTCCATAATGAACCGGGTGCTGATATCATGAAGCTGTTTGGTTTGCACATTATTGAAACCGTCCTTGTTCCCCATCCTTAGTCAACTTTAAATACAACTTAGAATTTAGAAGTCTTTGCAACTCACTCCCCTCCAAGTGATTCGATTCAGAAAAAAGTTAGTGAAGGCAAGACTCTGGCTATGTGAAATGCAAGGAGCGCCAAGCACCCCAACAACGACGTGCTTGCTCGAGGTCTTGACCAAACGGCACCTGCAAGTCATCGCAAGGGAAACCAGCAAACTGAGATCACAAACTATCGAAGCAGACAACTTTTCTAAAGCCTCATCAATCTAAAGCCTGGGCACTGCTTGCCATGCGTTGAGCAGTCAAACCTGTCGACCAACTCCAAGTTCTTGGGGGCCCAACGCTTTGATTTGGGCTGCTTCTCAAGCATATGCTTGACGTCGTCCACCAAGCAAGTCTCAGGGAAGTGAGTCGAAAGAAGTCTTCGGCAGGCCCGGTTCTTCTCAACCTGAAGCAAGAAATTGCTTTGTCGAGCGAAGGTTCTTTCAATGACTGCGGTAAGTCCAACGAAAGTAGGGCAGAAAGCAATGAAAGAGCGCGATCAACTTAATATAAGAATAATAGACATGATTGAATCTGAAATTCTTTCAAACGGGTTGAGAAACCATCAATCCATAGCCCATCCGCAATTCTATACCAAAGCGGTCCGCGACCACCGTCTTCAATATGGCCAGGGCTTCTCGGAAACACTCGACTCCGCTGAATAGGCTGTGCACGCACCATTGAATTGAACCTTAGGGTACTACATATACTATACAAAAGAGTAATGATAGCAGTTCTTACAAGTTTCTGCATATATGAACATAGGATATTGCGTTTTTTGCTGATCGACAAACACCATAAACGTGACACGTTCCAACAAGAGGCTCAATTTTCTTTTGACCTGTGATTCCCCCCAGAAATCACACGCCCTTTGCAGCAATACAGCTGGCCATGAGTTGATCTCCTTCAAGCTGCGTGGTGCAGGATACGGCGACCTGAGATGATCTGAGATGGCGTGGGCTGAAGTTCAAAGGCTGGCATGGAACATGTGATTCACATCATTAACTCACTCATTGGAATTGTTGTAAAACTTTTTGCTGCCTAGATGCATCCTTGGTAGCACGATACGGGGCTCATCATCTAGGGAATCTAGGGCGCAGGATGCTGGCCTTTTCATCTTAGCAATCTCAAGCTTCCCAGCCAGAATCTTGCAGGAGTTTGGAGGTGTTTGAATGTGATTGACATGCAACAATGTCCATATTGTAGGCTTCCCAGCCAGGCTTCCCAGCCATAAGAGCTAACACCTTCACACCCAAACAAGGCTTCCCAGCCATAAGAACTAACACCTTCGCACCCAAACAATATCCTACGATTTGTAAAGCAATCAAATCTAGGAACAACAGTTCACGAGGCTTGCGGTCATGTCTCTCATCTACCTGTGAGTTTCACCCGCTAGGGCGCCCAACAATGACCGTCACTTCACCTCCGCGGGCCGGGAAATTGGAAGAGACTGGGAAGTCTCAAGAACCACATTTGAAGAAAGGGCTGGGAAGCCATGGATTCACTTGTGAGAGTCACGTCGCTGTCTGTAAGCTGCATACATTTGACTTTAGTCTGACGATACACTTGGTTTGACTTCTTGACTTGACTCCCACAGTCCTGCCTCGTCCACTTGCATACTGGCCTGGGCAGCGGGCGCAATAGACTGACTGACGCGACTCGACATGTGAGATGCAAAAAGTGGAGATGCGATGATGCGAGAGGTTTTTTTTCAAGTGGCGACTTTGTCAACGATGTCTTCCAGACATAAAAGGATGGGAAGCTGTAGAATCGCATTTGAGAATCTTTTGTTGAGAAAGAACCACTCCAACTGCAAGTAAGTTGCAGACTTTGAAAAAACTGATGACATCTGGTTTGATTTGACTTCTTGTTTTTTGCTGACTCCCACAGGGACTCCCACAGTCCAGCCTGGTCCACTTGCATTCTGGCCTGGGCACCGGGCGACATAATGGACAGTAACCGAATGGACAGTGACAGCGACCGGGCACAGGCGTGACATGATGGACAGTGGGCATCATGACATGAGATGTGAAAGCGACTCTCCTCAAACCGAAATGGATTTTAATCTCAAGCGCCGAAAGTCAACAATGTCTTCCCAGACTGGCCAGTCAGACACAGTTCCCACTGCGTGTGTGAAAAATATGCGGTAGGAAAATCGCACTTTCCATCCAGCTCTCTTTAAAAGGTTTTAGCCAAAAATTGTTTCAATCGTGCCATCACCACACTACTTTTTGAGAGCTGGCTCTTCCGAGCAGGTGATCACCACTGTGACCTTTCTCTTTGAAGAAACTTTCACAGTGACCTCCGTCGCCGCCTCCGCAATCTCCTTGAGTCCTAGGCCACGCAGCTACCCTCCAACCAGATTTACTACCCACTCTCAACTCCACGGTTCAACGACCACTGAAACGTTGTTGACTTGTTCATCATGCCTGCTGGCAAGACACGGGCTTGTTCCAAGAGGATGGGTGGTGTGCGGG